GCGGTTTCAACAAGGGAGGACCTACATCTGACTCACCTGCTCCATCGACATCGACACCATCTGGTGAGAAGCCCGCTGCGGCTGGCGATGCTTGAGCATAGCTGAGTCGGTTTAACGTGTTTCCTTGTTTCTTCTCTGTTCGAAAATTCTTAACGCTTTTTTTTTTTTTTGCCGGCCATGTCTTCACATTCAACTTTTCTCCACCGTGTGTTCTGTTGAAGTCACATCGGTCCCTCATATCCTAATTTTTATTCTTGTGATATTTTCCTTTCCCATTTCGTTGTTTTTCTCTGAGCGAGATGTACGTGAAACACTACACTTCATTTCCTTGTTCCTAGTAGACGCTTGTCACCCCCTAGGATTCTTTAGCCCGGGCTACCGGAAGGTTGTTGGTGCCGTTCAGTGCAGTGCAGGTTGAGATGAAGATGGTGCGATGATGGAAGGGAATGAGACAAAAAAGCGACGGATCAAAAGAAGAAAAAAAATCATAAAAAAAGCGTCAACATCAACGCAACTTTTTTGTATTTTAAGATTTTTTTCCCTACTTTCCTGGACGCACCAATATCGATACCCTTGTAGCTTTATTGTTCCTTGAGCTTCATGTACGGAACTGTTTGGTATTCTCTCATCTACTTGTAACGTCTATCTGAAAGGTTGGTTTGGATGTTTCAAGCTTACACGGAGGTTGTAGATATTGTCAAGTCAGAGTAGAGAATAGAAGAATCATTCCAATATCAACATGAACAACTCCCTTGATGGTATTAACAGAAGGGAAAAAAGAATCAATCATGAATAGGCACAACCATCGTAAACCGTGAACCAAGGAGTATGTAAAATTAGAGACCCCAGACCTCGGATATGATCATATCCAGCACAACGCAAATGCGCCTTATCCGAAAATTTTCTTTGAATAACCAGCCGTCCAGCCGACAACTTACTGTACGCCGGTAAGGGGAAATAAAGCACGCATGATCTGATCATCAGTGTACATTCTTTCCAAGCCGAGACCAGTAATGAGTTTATAGCCAAACTGTGCCTCCCCGTTCGCCTTGTATGAAACAAAAGACCGAAGAGAAAAGGGAAAAATGAAGCATGAAACGACAGATACCTCACAAATACATATCGTCGGATAATGTTGATCCCAAAATAAGAGTAGATGGTACATATACCAGAGCGTATGTGACTCAATTTTGCGAGTATGATAGTCCCCAGATCCCTTGCTCGTCATGACGTCAGTTGCAGTGTTGTATCATAGATATGGGTATCAAAATCTGCAGCACAGGATTGCGCATTATAGTCCGATGGCGAAGGATGTTATTTGACGCGACCCATGATGTCCTCCACGTCCTTTTGGTTCACAACTACACCACCCTCCGAACAGCGGGCCTTCGTACGCAGCTCGGAGCAAAGGTTGTCAACGTCAATTTCGCCATTGCGGAACTTCTCCATAGATTGCAGGCGATCCCTACGGTAGATGAAAGTCAGTATACCAGTGATAATTCATGGAACCAAAATCAAGCCGGACATACCAAATCTTGGTGCAAGACAACATCTGTGATTTGTCCTCCCCAGGCACCACCTCCTCATCCAACTTGTTGTCGATTTCAGCAATCAAATCCTTCTTCGGTGGCTGTGGGTTAGCCACCTCATTGAAATTGTGAGACGGACTTCCCAGATCTGGCAAGGGGAAGGCATCGTCAAAGAAGGTACCGAAGTCCTGTGACAGAATGGCATCCTGAGGTTCTCGCCAGTCTCCGAAGAGCACTGGATCGAACTGACCCCCATTCTGCTGCGCCAGGAGGTCAAGTCCAGGTCCGGCCGTTTGTTCGTCGTTGCTGCTGGGTTGGCTAGGGGTATTCGACACGCTCTCGCTTTTGCCTCTCACAGCTGGAACAGGGTTATTGATATTGCCGCACGCCATGCCGAGTTGTGCGCAGAAGGAGGCCTCACCATCAATGGTGCTATAGGTACAAGCATGATGATTTTGAACACAGTCACTAAGCTTCGTGGCAGGCGAATTTGATGTCGGCTCCGGCGATGTGCCATTTGAAGACAGCATCTGACTCTGGTGCGAGTCCGATGAGGAGGATGGAGAACAAGAATTAGACGAATCATGTGACGATGCGGACTGTCTGATATTGTACACCGATGGTACCTTAGGAGAGGGGTTGTTGGAGACTCTATTGGCGGCTTTGGCAGTTGGCACTCCCTGGTTGTTTGAGCCGTTAAGTGATTCCCGAGTCATAACACCTGGAACTTGGGAGTCGCTTGTCGCCGGAGAAGAACCATTCCTAGGCTTATTTTGGTTTGACTTGGTCAATGGGCCATTGAAGATGTGTCCTCCGGGAAGGTCTCCGAATTTGGGGAAGTCGAACATGAAGTCATTATTATTGAGGCCATACAAATTCCTAGAATGAGCGCTTGGGATAGCGCTCATGGCAGAGATTCCACTGCCGGTAGTCAGCCATGAGAGACGCTTGCGGTACTCCCTGAGTTCCACTTGCAAACGCTCGACCTGAGCGCGCAGTAGTCCATTCTCCTGGTTTGCATCGTCCGAGGCCTTCTGTAACTCATCCACTTTGGTCTCCAAGTCCTTCAAATGCTTCTCCTTGCGCTCACGAAATGCGCGCTGCGCTGCACGGTTTTGCGCCTTGCGCTTCTAGAAAGCACGTTAGTAACACAAACCCCGATCAATCTACTCCACAGATTCCAATGCATACCGAAGTAGGCTCTGAAGTCAACGGCTTTCTACCTGGTTTTTTCGCTGCTTTGTCATCGCTTTCTCTGCGCTTCTTTCCCGACTCTTCGTTTTCGTTGTCCGACATATCCTTCCGCTTTTCGCCTACCTCGTGTTCCTCAGATGGGAGACTTCCCGGCAGGTCACCAATTAGATTCTCGGAGCCCGGAAAATCGAAGTCAAGCTCCGGATTGAAGTCTAGGAAAGGACTCTCATCATCTCCGTAACCCAACCCACCGGAGCCATGATGCGTCTTATTGAATCCGGGTGACATGCTAAAGCTGCCAGACGACATGTTTCCAGGAGTGCTGTCTGGGTCTGTCTTCGCTTGGGACCTTTGCTTATCGTTCTGTTGTTTTTGAGGGGGTTGATTTGAGGAAAGAGCGGCAAGAAGAAGGTCTTGTTGATCGGGGGAGAGGTAGAGGCCTTGATGATAGAGGGTATTATAATCGGCCATCGTGATTGTCGTATCTTCCGAAGCGGAATAGATATGCGAAAATATACAGACGCCGGGGCCACTCGTATGCTGAGATAGACCTGCGATCAAATCCGAATCAAACACTCGACTTGGCTGTTTGGACCGTTGTGATAGCAAGGCCGGGCTTCCCGCCCGTTTATTCTATCGTATGAAGTCACCAGTGATGAAAAGATATCTGTGTGATGAAGGATTCAAGATGAATAATCAAAGCGGCAGTAATTGAAGAAACGTAGCGTCGAGAATTGGCGTTACAGCGATTGTGGAAAACGCGGTAGGTTTTTTAAGTGTTCAAGGATATATCAAATGAGGGATGCTTCCAACTACAGTGTGTAAATTGGGAAGCGACTGGCTGAAATCCGGCAAAGGAAAGAACAAATAACTTATTTTCTGTTAAGGAAAATTTGGTGTAGTCGGAAGAGATGTACAGACACCGGGCAAGCAGCAGGATAATCCGAAAGCAGCTCAACCCCGGCGCACGGTAAATAGGTGCTCCAAGACACGTAGAGATGATCAAAACAGAAGGTGAGGTGAAGAAGATGCAGGTTGATCCAAAGGTAGGTTCAGGGCAAGGTGTGAGAAAGGAGGGGCTCGGAGGGAGGCGAATGAGGCTAGAAACGGAGCAGTAGGCGGAGCAGAAATGCTGAGAATGGATCGAAATACGTCAGATCAATTGGTGCCTACTTCAGGCGGACAGGGGACCAATCGATGGGGGGGGAAACGAGTGCTAGAGAAAAGACCAGGGGGGAGGATGAAGAAAGAAGAGGACGAGTTGGCGTAAGAGGGGAAGAGATGAGCCGATGCATTGCAGTCATTCGATAGCGGTACAGCAGTGACTAGCCTGAGGTACCACTCTTTTGGTCGTCGAAAGAGCGGCAGCCCCTTTAGCGCGTGGCTATTGGTTGCCTAACCCCAGGGTTGTTGATCGAGACCAATCACCGCAACGGATCGTGAGCGCTAGTTCGGAACCAGAAAATCCCAAATGCTGCTTAGAAATCAGGCCAGACCCTCTTTTTTCTTTTCGCATTTTCTGCCGCTTTCCATTCCCTCGTGTTTAAAGCCGTTTGGTTCCCGCCACTCAGCAGATCCCATCCCGAAGTCTCTCCACATCGTGGCTTTACTATCGGATGTCTCGGTCGACTGATAAGATGGACTCTTCCTTTTTTTTTTGTGGAGATATTATCTTCTTTTCTCTTCACCTCATGTTGATTCCTTTCGCAGTTTTCACCCTCTCTTATGATATCATTTGTCTTGTTCGTTTTTCTACACGTAAACAGTCCAGGAATATCATCAGGTTCTATCCCCATGGATAGATGTCAGCGTGAAACATCCGTCCTTATCGTCAGATCCTCCCAGATGGGTCCAAATTGATCTAACAATTGGACCAATGTCCTCCGAGTTCGGGTCTTCCGTGACTCATCAACAGTTTTCGTTTTATGTAGATCGACGAAATGGGGAGGTCTCAAAGAACGCATCCCCCTGTAACCCCGACATCTGCTACCATTGTTGGGTAATTGCTGCAATAGTTTTGATAGGTGAAACACGGTAAGGACCTGGATCTCTCAAGGTGGTTGCGCCACAAGTAAGCTCGTGAGCACCAGTGGCAACAGGATTTAACTCTGTTCCACAAGATGAATCTCCGTTCATCGGTCAATGCCTTGGAATCTCCGGGGTGACGTGATATTAAATTTCAAGTCATCACTTTGAGATCGTCACCAGTGCCCCAATCGCCTTCTAACTACAATGAGTGTAGTTTGTAGATTCTTAAAGTAATTAAGCTAATGGGGGGGGAGATCCACTCCTATATCAACTGATGGTGAAGATATCTGGAGTGCATCCCACCTGCAGAGGGCCCCTCACGTGATGCACTAACCACAAGGGGAACGTGCACTATCTTATCCCAACTTCTTCTTTGGGTCTTATCTTTGCCATCGCCATCTGCAAATAGTTTGAACATCCAACGTTGGTCTCCTTCAATAGCTAGCGCATTCTCTCATTTTCTTTCGCCTGTCCTGGCAATTCATTATTTTGTTTATTTGTTTCTTATTTGTTCCTCTTTCAAAAGTTTTATTATTTCACAATGTCGGACGTGGCAGCTCTAGAGGCCGAGGTCAAGGAATTCAAGTTACAGGTATATCTGTCGAATGGTTGTTGAACTTTGATTTCTAACCCAGTGGGTGCAGCTTGAAACCGTCCAATCGAGTTTGCAGGTAGATCCAGATAACACGGAACTTCAGAGTCTCAAAACTGAGCTGGAAGAACTTATTAACCTCACCGAAACCTCCATCGCCGAGCTCAAACCTCCCGCACCGTCCACGTCGAAATCATCGCTTCCGGTAAAAGAACAAAGACCCCGGGATAACTACCCTACGTCTCAGACGGGCTATCGAAAGCCAACAGTTGAGCAGACGGAAGAGTCCGCCCCACCGGCATCTTTCTCCGTCAATGAACATGTCCTTGCCCGTTGGACTTCGGGCGACAACTCCTTCTACCCTGCCCGCATTACCTCCATCACCGGTTCCTCCAGCAACCCTGTTTACCTGGTCTCCTTCAAGTCCTACGGCACGGTGGAATCATTAACTGCAAAAGACCTCAGGCCTATCTCTGGCAATGATTCGCGTAAACGCAAGGCTGATGGAAGCTCAGGCAATTCCGCATCCCAATCCCCAGCACCTCAGCTGCCAAACTCGAGCGTGATCTCTGCAGCTGCAGATATCAACCCCGCATTGGCGAATCAGGCGCGGAATGAGCCAAGCAAGGTAGGCGATGGCTCCGCGCGTCCCGCAAAGGCGCCTCGGAAGGTCAAAGCCAACCGGGAACTTGAGGCGGGTAAGATGAAGTGGAAGGATTTTGCCAGCAAGGGAAAGTTGGGACGGAAAGAGAGCATGTTCCGAACTGGAGACAGTGTCAACGCCCGAGGTATGCCTCTCACGATTTAGTGCCCGATAGGGCCATGGCTAATCTTTACATCGGCAGTGGGTTTCACTGGGTCTGGCCAAAAGATGCGCAAAGATCCCACCAGGACGCGACACGTGTATCAACAAGCCGAGGACGAAGGCTACTGATGACGTAGCTTTGGAGTTTTTGCAGGGGTTTTCCATGATATGATGGGCTTGGTTTTTTTTTTCTCCTTATTGTTCATATGCTGTTTTTGCTCAAGCTATCTATTGTTCCCATTACTAACAGGCTGTTGGTGGCAGATAAGTCATCTCATGATTGTCGAGGCAAGGAGTAGTCGTACATAGAACGCGGCTTCAAGGTTTTGGTGATTCTTTACCCCATGAGTCTCTGGCGTCCCTCCTGCACGCGATCATTTCTAATCCGCCATCCTGTTAGGTATTATGACGATACGTCTATCGGAAAATAGGTTTTGATTGCCCAACGTGCTGCTTTTCCCGTAGTAGTGATCCGATAGGGCGACCCAAATTCTGGAGAATTAAAGAACTAGACTCTTGCGTAAATGTCACTATAAATTGTAGTAAATGACTCAGATATTTAATTATACTATTTTAGGAAGATATCCCATGCGTTGACAATTACATATATAGCTTCATTGTCCATGGTTCCGTCTGGAATTCATGGGACATGTTTTCATGAAAACATACTTGAGTAGGGCATCACCAACTTCAATCAACAGATTCCGACATTGTCAAACGGTAATTCATCCGGCATATGTGTATAGGTAAATGTCGTGTTAACTGATATGTAAATTGAAAAGTATGACAGGTGAAGTTTGTTCCTTGCATCTTCCCAAGTCTACATCAGAATAGAACTAATGACCGGGTCCAATATGAGCTAGTGTCTACGAGAACAACATTAATATCTCCATACGTCTATGATTCTATGTCTCTAAAAATACACAACGATGGTCAAAGAATAGCTATTCCAGTATAGCAGCCGTTATCCTGCCATATCACTGTCTTCTTCCCACCATTCACTCGATATACACTTCCTCCTAAATCCGTCACATACACCTGCTTCTTCCCGTCCATTTTAATCCCGATGGGTTCGTGGAATTGCCTTGCTAATAATTCCTTCTTGCTTCGAAGCTTTGCTTTATCAGCCTTTCCACTAACATCCACCCGGTTTAACGAACACCCAGTTGGATGCTCGCCACGATCGGTCCAGTATAGCAACTGATTCTCCCCATCCAATTCCAGGTCGATCGGTTCAGGTAATCCTTCCAACAATAGCTCAATGTCTTGTCGATTATCCGCTGTCTGGCCAGCTGGGATGTCAATACCTGCTCGAAAAATCCGTCCCTGGCCACTTTTGCTGGGCCCCTTCTGCGTCCAGTAGATATAACCGCGATCCATGTCCAAGGTGATACCTACACACCATCGCGTCATATCCTTTCTTTCCTCGGGTTTATCGAGAGAGCCAGTACGAACAAGAATTTCGTCATCAGTACCGTCAAAATTAACTCGGTGCACGCCCATGCCCTCACGATCACAGAAGTAAACCTTATTATTGATATCATCAACGACCAGTTGCTTCGGCGTGTGCACCGTACCAGGAGGTAGGAGAGTCCGGACGTCCGTTCCGTCAAGGTTTGCCGAGTGCACAGAACCATCATTTGTGGCTGTTGAGCGACCCATATTCGTCCAGAAGATGCGAGACGCCGTTCGTGAGACGTCAATCCCATCCGGCAAGGACTGCCCTTCAACGAGAGTGGTCACTTTTCCAGTATTCGGGTAGAACTTGAGAATACGTCCGGCTGTTGGAACGAACGAGATATCAGGATTGTTCGATCCCAGACCAACGTCGAGTAAATACAAGGCCTCTTCACCCTTGACAGCATCCATAGGCTTGGGAGGATACAATCCGCCCTTATCGCTCTTGAGTCCTAGTTTCCCAGGAGAGATATATTTCTCGCGCAGCCAGTCAACAGTCATGCGGCTGTCTAGTCCCCTCTCTTGAATATAGTTATCTTCAATGAACGCCACTGTATCCAAACCAATCTGATCCATCAATCGACACGGCGGCAAACTAGACGGAAGCTGGAACATATTCTTCCAGAGAAGATCAATTTCTTCAGGAGAACTAATGCCTTCCGCAAGAATAAACATGATCTCACGCTTAATAGCAGCCCAGAGACGATTGAAGATGAATCTAACCCATATTAGCCATCATCCACAGACCATATATATTATACAAAGAGAAAGAGACGAGAAGAGGAGAGAGAAACTTACCCAGTTGACTCCCGTCTCGCCGTAACAGGAATCATCCCACAATCTTTCAACACACCCGTCAACAGATTGAACAACTTTGTGCTCGTTTCTCCATCTGTCATTAACTCTACCGTCCGGATAGCAGGCGGCATCGTGAAATGCATATTCAGTATCCTTTCTCTCCTCCCAGGTTTCACCTCGTCTAGCATAAATCTCGATTTAAAAGAGCTGCTATTCGATGCAATGATGCAGTCAGCCGGTGCATTGCGATCAACTTCCGCAAATGTGCTGATCTTCAAAGGCAGTTTCTCTGGTACGGCTTCTACAACGAGCCAGGCGTCCGATACGGCGGCGGAGATCTCGGTGAAGGTCTGGTAAGTACCACCGGTGCGTTGGGAAGGGGTAAGAGCGATAAATTCCTGAATATGACTATCAATGTAACTGGATGCGTCCGAGAGCGCCTGGGGGGAGGGATCGCGGATATGCACATTGTATCCACCTGCAAGGAAGACAGAGGCAATGCGGCGGCCCAACACCCCAGCTCCGAGAACCACGACGGGACGTGATGATGGTTGGGGCATTATTTGTATGCTTTGATGCAGATAAAATGATGATATAGAAGTATAAATAAATGTGAGAGGAATATGCTGGGTAACTGGGTTTCACATTTACACATATAAAAGCCCATTCTCCAACAACCCCCATCTAGCCCTTATATATCTTATCCATTACACGCAACAGGGCACCCAGATCCCCGTATATGGATACACACGCCGCACGTGCCGATATCCGATACCCATTGTTGAATCGGTCCAGGTCGGTCGGACACCCTCGGACTCGGTATGGAGATACTTCGGAACGGGGACGGACCGGATACTTAACCCTATGGGCTGAACCTTGGGACGATTTCTATGCTCACCGTATTGGCTTAGAGCGCTCATATTTCGGGACAAGTAGGTGGATAGTGTGTCTGTTTAGGAATGTTACGGTGGGTATCACTGAGGAATGAGTTGTGCTAAAGTAGTGCCGTTTAGCCGTGGAATGGATGCTTGGTGTATGTTATGGTTGTTGGGTTGGTAATTCTGAGGGTTTGGTATTGCTCAATGGGGGTTTGCATTTCTCTGTTTTCTTAAGGCCATGGCATAGTGTACCAGATTACTTTGTTTTAGTGGGTTGGAGTGATGAATTACCTGCAAGTAACTATGTGGTGTTGGTGTGAAGATTTCAAATTCTGATTGTGGTAGCATACTGTGCATTCTAGGGTGGGAGTTCAAAAGTATGTGATGTGACCCCTACTATAATATCAATGAAACATTGATCAATATTGTGTCTTTCCAGGACTCCGTATACAGTGTGCTAATTAATTTTGGTTACCTGGCATTGTCCTAGAAAAGTATAGACAAAACCCCAGCTGTAGATGAACCATAAAAACAAACCCAAAATAAATTCACTATTTATCTACTTTCTAAAACAAGAAAACCTGATCCCCAACTTTAGCAACAGCTCCAGGCATCGCCCACCCCATTCCCTGCAAGGTCTTCTTCATCGCTCCCACCATCGGCGGCGGCCCACACAACAACACTCTATTATCCAGCGCAGCAGGCGCCAAATGCTTCGCAATAACATCCCCATTCACAAACCCCCGGTAACCCTGCCACGTCTCCCCGGGATGGCTCAACACATACTGCACCTGGAACTTAACTGGATGACGCCTCGCGAACTCATCCAACTCTGCGCGCAATAAAATGTCTTCTTCCGTGTTATTCGCGTACAGCAATGACACCTGAGTCTTGTCGCTATCGTCTTCGCAGATTGCCCGAATGAGCTGGTACATCGGTGTAATGCCTGTTCCACCTGCGATCATCCCGATATGCTTCGCATATTGCCGTGAATATTGCATTGCGCCCTTGGGTCCGCGGATCTCGATCGAGTCGCCTACTTCCATCTGCTCCAGGTGCTGGGTCATCGCTCCATTGGGGTATACCTTGATGAGTAGCTCGATACGACCCAAGTCACTGTTGTTGGATACCGGTGTGTACGATCTCGAGACGCTTTGTCCGTTGATCGTCGCTCGTAGGGCGATATGCTGGCCCGTCGGTAGGCCGAGGATATCATCAGGATTTGGCAATGCAAAGATGAATCGATATACATGTGGCGCAACTTCGGTTTTGCTGGTCAAGGTGAAAGGTCGCCATTTGCGCGGATCCAAGACACTCGGTTTCTTGACTGGAAGATTGGTCCGGGGGAGCTTGATCATACGTGCTGTTTTGGCTGGTCGACGGGGTACGTGGTGAGTGAATTCTTGTTGCACGTCTAGCTTGGTTGAGATCCACATGCCCAAGCCCAAGGTTAGGGAGAACTGGACTGCGCTGGCGATGCCCACGCCGGTCCAGAAGTGGGATCCGTCGTGGCCTGGGCCCTGGCGCGGAGAGATAGATGTGACGAGGGAGCGCAGGGCGTGGACTACTTCGGTGGTGGTTATACCACGATGGTAGGCTGTTATGGCAGCTCTGCCCGCTAGACCGGTCATGCCGCACTTTATAATTGTTTGAATTATGGATGACCAGGAGGTGGAGTTTTTGACGTTGACGGCCGCGGATTGGGAGACTTGCTCGTAGGTTGGGCGGTATATCTCGACGGATTCGGTTTGTTCCTGAGCTTTTGAGTATAGAGACCAATGATGGGTATAATGGGTATCTACCTCTGTCGGTAAGTCGCCTACGTAGAAAGGCTCTAACTGTTCCCTCGCTTCGTCAGAGTGTCCGACTTCCTCAAAAGCTTCAGTGGCGTCGGCGCCGGCGACCTCGAGAAGAATAGCACCCCCACCGGGGTGATCTTCAAGGTACTTGGTCACATCGTAGACTATGAGCAGTCAATATCAGTCTGGCTGGATGATAGGAGAGACGAACCCTTGTTGTGGAGGATAATCCAGACATCGTCTGGTTTGCAGTGTTTTTGGACCTGTTCAAGGGTGAAGGACGACATTTTGGCAAAGTATGCAACTTTATCCTCTCAAAGCAAACATGGACAACTTAGTCATTTATATCCTCAACTGTCTTTGCGACTCTTGTGCCGTTCTATCCAGACAATGACGCTCGGGCGACCCTCGTACGAACTTCGGACGAGGTCTCCGAAGCAGCCGAAGATCAAGGTGGGCACGGTTATTCGGATAGCATATTCAGATTCAACTTCATCAAGGTATATAATAATGTCGTTTCCAGGTGAGTCTTCAATCAAGTTAATTAGTTCAAGCATTGATATTCATCATGAAGTGTCAATTCTATCTCGTGGGTGACGACATCACCACCACACAGTCCATAGATGTGGACTCGCACTGGAAGTTTGAAGACCTACAGCGCGCTGTCGGGGGAGTTTTCCATGTCGCTCTGCCAACAGGTAAGCCTTTTGGACCGACACTTCCTCTTTAGCAGAAGCCCTAACATTGCAGGCATCTCCTTTCACTCTGAAAACGAAACGTTGTCGTCCGTCGCCGACATTATCTCTGTCGAATCATCTCCCATCGGCCTCCGAATCGACGGCAATGCCGTACAAACTCCTCAAGGACCTCCAGGGCTGCCCCTGGTTGGCAGCTTCTACGAGATCTTCCCAGACCATCTTGGGAATCACTATCGACTCTTCCGCAAATATGGCCCCTTGATCAAAACCATCAACATGGGCAAAACCACCTACCTCACAGACGATCCGCAGGTCGCCTCAGTCTGTCTCGCAGAATCAGCCTACATGACCAAGAAGATCAACGAGAATCACCCCCTCTGGGGCGTAAAAGACAACACCGCCATCTTCATCGGCGACACAGAGACTGAAAACTGGCGTCTCGCCCACAAATACCTCCCACCAGCCATGGGGCCCAAAGCGGTACGACACTACACAGGCCTGATGCAAAACTGTGCAAGAAAGTCTCTACCCGTGTTCGACGAGCTGGACGCCCGCGACGAGTCCTGGAACGTCTACCAGTACATGGTCAAGTTGGCCTCGCAGACCATCGGGTCCTTCTCCCTCGGCAAAGACTTCGGCCACTTCGACTCAGTCGACAGCCCCCTCCACCCGATCGTCACGAACATCGCCAGTCTCCTGTCGCTCAATAAGAAGATCACCTCCCGCGGCGAATGGTACCGCCACCTCCCCTTCGGCGACCCGGCCCGTCTCCGCCACGTCCAACATACCATCTACACCTTGCTGCAGGAAGCCATCGACGAAGTCGCTGGTTCTGGCATTGCTGACGCCCCCATGAACGAAGCAGCGCTCAGCGCCTCCTGCGTCGTCGACTACCTCCTCCACGCGGTCGATGACAAAGGTGAGCACTTCCCGCAGGGCCTCATCCTCGCTAACATGCTCATCGTCACGGGCGCTGGCTTCACCACCACATCCGCGCTCCTCTCCTGGCTCCTCTACTGTTTGGTCACATACGAAGGCACACAGGACCGCCTCTACGCCGAACTCGTAGAGCACGGCATCGTCGGGCCCAGCGGCGAACGCAACCAAACGACCTGGACCCCCGATCTCGCGCACAGCCTTCCCTACCTCGACAAGTTCGTCAAGGAAACTCAGCGTCTCCACAACGCCAGTTTCCAGCCGGGGAGAACCACTAAGACTGATGTCGTGCTTCCGGGCGGGCATCGTCTCCCGCCTGATAGTGTTATTATCCCTGCGTTGTATGCTATCCATACGAATCCCAAGACCTGGCGGGACCCGTTCCGATTTGATCCGGATCGATGGGATACGGAGGAGGTCAAGGGAAGGCATCGGTGCGCCTATATACCGTTTGCAACGGGGCCGAGGGGGTGTATTGGGTTTAATTTTGCGTTATTGGAGGTTAAGATTTTGTTGGCGGAGTTGGTGAGTCGGTATGAGTTTGTGAGGGACGGACTGGAGGCGATTGATTATGATCCTGAGTTTCAGTTGATTCGGCCGTTGAACTTTTATGTTAGGGCTAAGCGGAGGGTGTAAATGGTTATATATCATTGATAGATTGATAGAATGTACACTAGATATAAAATGGAGGTCTAGGAGTTAGGGTTAGACTGTATTCTCATAATTCTATCATGGAAGTTGAATTAGGGCACGGATCTCTTACGATAAAAGAATTATAGCTCTCACTTGACTGTATATCACACCGCGGCCTCTTGGTAAATCTCTCGCAATGCTTTCAGCGCCCGAGAATACGGCCCGAAATACCGAACATTCGTATCAGCATCGCACCACTCGGAATCCTTCTCCTCTTTCTCCAAGACTGCGATCAGGTGCTGCACAAGTACCTCTGGGTCTCGCTTGTCCTCCACGATTAGTGCCCTTAGCCCCTTGAGCGCAATTGCACAGCTAACCGCGTTATGCACAAACGCCCATGATCGACAAACACTCGCTGAGAACCGATGAAGATCAAGAAAACTCTCGATCGCTTGCATTGCCCGGCTCATACAGTTCGTCGCAGCAGCATTGTAAAGGGGAGAATGAGGCTCTATTTCACTCAAATACACTCGGCTCAGTCTGCAAATACCATATCCAAGATGAACTCCAAGGGCTAATCGTTCTAGATGATCTTGTACAGAGGTGCACCGTGCCTTGTCCGTGAGAAATGGAGCGGCGTCGTCCCACACCTCTTCTAATTGTTGTTTACACTTGAGTGCGCTCTGTTGTGGGTCTTCGACGTTTCCCGCTGCCTCTTGCCGTGCTTTGTTGAGGAGGATGTTGCAAATGGTGAAAATAGATTCTTGGAATGAGAGTCCTTCGGTTTGCTGTCTATATGGGATAGGGCAACTCATCGTGATTGTACTTGGAGGGCGGTCATATGTGAACGATAGAAAGGTATCTTGCCAAACGATTGACCACCTGCCCTTCGTTAGTGGTGCAATCACAGGTGTATACTGAGAGGGAATACCATAATCTGTTGCGTTGGAATTGCTCGGATTCTGGGAGGGATGGGAATGCTTCATGGAGACCGATACTCTGAGCTAATCGAATGGTTGCACCTGCTACAATCAGTATATATATAGCGAGAGATAGAGGGACATACACCTACCCATCAGTATCCACGCACTGTTGGTATCCAGGTTATTGCGCAGACAATGCCCAATCAGTGCCATAGCCTGAATCTGATCCAGGTTGGTATGATTGAAAAAGTTTGACATGCGAAGGCATTGGAAAGATGAGCAAACTATGTTATTAGTTGGATTCTAGCTTTTCCAAATGGAAGGTAGTATTAACATACTGAGGACCTTTGACCGCAAATCTCGCTCCTTGATCGGATCATCCGAAAACTGCACCCCACAAGCTAGCACAGCGAATAATAGTGCCAGCCAAGACGAATCAGGGCCGAGTTCTTCGGTTGTAGCTGCTTGAGATGCAACTCGCTCGTCTAAGAATCCGAACAACGCAGGGCCGAACTGGTCGATAGTCACCAGCGATGGGTAAAATGGGTAAACAATTGATTGGTAGACCTGCCAGTATCTAGGATAATCAGTTTTGGGGAAGCAAATATCGAAATTGGCCAGCTTTGGAACTAAAAACTATCAAGTCAGAGATGCATACCGGATGATATCCGAATCGTCCGGCAACGTTTCACAGACGTTCTTGGCTGTCGCCTCCGCCCCCCAAAGATTGGCAAAAGGATATGTCCGTGGCACAAATTGGTCGATTAGTGCATCGTGCAGCATCGCATCCCCCGTTGCCGACGCTCGACGGCACCCCAGTGCGAGAGGGGTGTCTGAGTGGCTGCCCAGATAAATAGTGGCACCAGTAGCATCTTCGACAAAGTAGCGTCCAGGCGACTTACTAGCTGGCCGGGTACGCAATTGACCCGTGTTACGAGTTTCACTTACAGAATGAGGACTCTGGGATGTCGCCGTAACCGTCGCGCACAGGTCTGCCTTGAGAGAGGAAATTTGCTCCTCGATTTTCTCCAGCTTAAAGATGAGAAGGCTGGGATCAGTTGCAGACTGAGATTGCGCTTCTTCAATTGTACTATTTCTATCATCAAGTCAATAAGCGGCCGAATATTGGTGAGTAGAACATACAGAACATCTAGATTTAGTTCACTCGGCCCTTGGGTGTCCCTTGGTGTAGGTTGCGGTGCTCTCGCCTCGCCGCCGGAAGCAGTCGGCACACGACATAACTCACTATGGCCGCGCTTGACGCAGTTGGAGCATGGCTCTCTTCCGTCACAACGGACCTTCCGGTGTCTGCAAGGAAAACAGGAACGGATGCCGCGGGTCTTGCGTTTATTCTTGAGCAGTTCGCGGACGACGGCAGTGTCGTAAGGATAGGGGTTTTCCGCCATTCTGGGTGCACGACGTGATTTTACTTCATTAATATCATTTCCCTATGATGCGTCGAAGCTCTGTGTATCCATTGTGCGATATAGAAGCAGTTGATGGAAAAAGAAACCTGCAGGGCAGCAGCTGTAAAGTTGATGAGTGTTGAAGTTCGTCACATTGATCGGGAAATTTAAGTGAGCCATCTCGTATTGGTATTACCATCTGTATTACACTAAACCAGGTTTGGAAGATACCTCATTCGGTTCATTCGATGAAACTTGTTCATGATCAACCAGCTTGATAATATTGGTGCTCTTGACTCTATTGCTGCATACACTAGATTCTATCTTACCAAAGATTATAGACGCTGATGATTGTATTATACTGCTATAACCGAGTACCTCTCGATCTTCCAAATGGGAAACCGAACCAATCTTCTTCACGCATCTTGACACGGACTCGCGGGACTTCCCTGGACAGGATGTCGTGTTTCGCCCGCGGAAGACCTCACAGCTATACCATGGTGTATACTCAAGGGCTACACGTCTTGCTAGAGGCGTAAAGATCCCCGCAAATTGTGAATGGCTGTTCTCTAGTGCCGCTGGAGCCTCATGCCTCAGCCCGGTTCTGAGATTTCTACTTGCGGTAAAGCTTGACATCGGGACCTGAAAGCGCAGTCGGCTTTCAAACTCAGAAGCATGGCATCCTAGCCAGACATGCTGGACAGCGATCTTACTTTTGCTGATTAAGAGGATCTCCTCAGCAAGACTTTCTTCGCTGAGTAGCCGATAAAAGAATCGTTCTGCCTCTCCCACACTCAAATCCGAACTTCATTTCAAGTGTACCAAAGTCGGCGGTCCCAGCGATAGGTATCCCAACCTG